ACCTGTTCCACAGAAGATAGATTCAAAGAATAAAGCTAGAGTTGGGGGCCCGCCGAGGACGCTTGGTGGTGGTGCGGGAGGAGAGGGAGAGGCGAGGAGTGCGGCTGCGAAGGCCGCGGAGGTGAGTCTAACTAACCGACTGCCAAATTGTTGGGGATATGAATTGGATAGCTAACATATATGTCTGTTGTGGTTTCGTATAGGAACGAGCGAGGAAACAATCAGCTTCGAATACGGGGAAGTTAAGCTCTCAGCTCGCAGCTCAGAAATCGCAGACTCGAACGGGGACACTCGAGCAGGTTAGTCGGGAAGAACGGGGTGCGAGGGATGCCGATGCAGCCAGTCAAGCTAGGAGGTGGGATTGATGATTATCCCAATTAGAGAAGCTACAGCATGAAGTTCATAATGACTGGTTTATGAGATGGCGTTTTGTATATACTGGAGCACTCTTACTGTGATTCTACTTACGAGGCGTTTGCTACGGAGCAATTACTTGGTTCTGAGAAGATGAGCCATGATGTGTACACATTTGATCTCAATTGAAGATATGATTATCTATGAATTTGTGACAGTCATATTGTCATCTGAAGTCGGAATGCCCGTATTAACCCTATTTCCACCGCATGCTTTATTTGATAAACAGAAAAGAAAAAGATCAGGTCCACCACACGCCCATATGTTTTTGAATGCTCATGAAAAGGGACAGAAAGCCGCGGGAGAAAAGTAGCATCGTCCTAGAGAAAGACAATCTTCTAAACAACATTATACCTCCCACTAGCAGGAGCTCTAGCATCACTATCCGCCGCAGCGATAGTTCCCTCCTTCAGGAGTCGCATGAGCTCCCGCATGGCGTTGGTTACCACAAGCTCAGTATCACCTTCAACCAAAATGTACAGTTTCGGGTTCTCGCCGGCCTGTGGCTCTTTGCCAGTTGGGTAGAAACTTCCCTTGGTGGTGATGGAGGTACCAGTAGCTTCGAGGATTTTGGCGACGTTGGTGCGGTTGGTGACGGCCCATCTTGCTTTTTCTGTTTAGTGCGTTAGTGTAGTTCTTTGATAAAGTAGAGAATAGGGAGGAAAAGCTTGGAAACTTACGGGGAAAGTCGTTGATCTCAAGGGTAGCATGGAATGCTCCAGCATCGGGACCCTTGTTGTCAATCGGGACGTTCGGCCTTATCACACCCGCACGGTTAAGACGAGCATGAATATCCGCTACAGCAGAACCGACTTTGTCGAGGGGATTCTTCGATGTGCTCGCAGGCTCCTTCTCAGTCCTGTGTACCGTGATCTTACCATCCAGATCGATACCATTAGGCACACCCGGCGTCGGAGCTGGCGCAGACGCAGACTGTATCGTCGAGGCAGCTTTGGAGAAGAGATCATCTCCCTTGTCTTTCTTCTCATCCTTCTCCTTCTCTTCTTCCTCGCCTTCTTCACCAGTCTTATACGTCTTGCGCTCACGATTTCTCGCAGCATCTCTCTCTTGATCTAGGCGCTCCAGACCCTTCCCACCGAATCCGGACCCGCTAGCTTTCTCTTTGCCTGACTTGACCTTCTCGATGAAGGAGTCAACCATCTTCTGGATCGCTTCGGGAACTTCCTGGCCGCTTTGTTTCAGTGCTTTGGATATGTCAATGGAATAACGTTCTTGGTCCTCGGTAACGAATGTGACTGCGGTTCCCGTATTCCCAGCTCTTCCTGTTCGGCCAGCACGATGGACGTAGTCCTCGAGATGGTTCGGAGCATCGTAGTTAACAACAAGCTTCAGTTGCTTCACATCCAAACCACGCGCAGCAACAGACGTGGCGATAAGAATTGGGAAAACACCCGCTTTGAAGTCCTCAATAGTAGAGTCTCGATCAACCTGATCTTTCCCTCCATGAATAGACATACAAGGGTACCCCTTACGCATTAAGTCCCGAAGAAGGCTATCTGCTGACTCCTGTCGATCTACAAATACTAAAGCACGTGCATCCTCGTTCTCCTCGTCGTGGTAGAGGTTTCCGAGGATCTCCAGCAGACGTAGGAACTTGGTGTCTTCGTTACGCACTTCGACTATTTGCGTGATCTCAGGAGCGACAACGCTTCTGCCACCGACGACAATTTCAACCGGTTTGGTCAATGTCTTTCGGGCAAGGGCTTCCATGTTGCGTGGAAATGTGGCTGAAAAGAGGACGGTCTGTCGAGTTGGTCTGACGTTGGCTAGGATCTTCATTACTTGTGGTTCGAATCCCATGTCAAACATTCTGTCGGCCTCGTCCAGAACCACGTAGGTTACCCTCCGTAGGTTAGTGACTCTGCCAGAATTGGCTGCGAGGAGATCAATCATCCGGCCAGGTGTACAGACAATGATCTCAGCGCCACGCTTCAAATCGGCAATTTGATCCTTAATAGGGGCACCTCCATAAGCACATACTGCGCGAAGATTTAAAGCTTTTAAGAACGGCTTGCACTCTTTGTGGATTTGAGTCGCCAGCTCTCGAGTAGGTGTCATAATCAACCCAACAGGACCTTCCATGTTGTCGAGAGGCCTCTGATCCCTGATATGGCGGAACATTGGCAAAAGAAAAGCGATCGTCTTTCCTGAACCCGTCTTCGCAACACCTATCACGTCTCGGCCTGACATGATGGCAGGTATTGCTTGCGCTTGGATGGATGTTGTATTCTCATACCCAAGCTTCTCAATCACACCTAGTGTTTGCACACCAAGTCCGCACTGTGACCATTTTTGCACCGGCTTTGGGACGTCAACCCCACGGATTTTGATTCCGTCGAGTTCCAGTCTCATAACTGCGACCTCTTCCTCCGTCATGTCAGCGAGATCAACTGGTTCGGTGTAAAAATTCTTTCGGAAGGGCTCGTAATTCATCTTGGCATGGTCAATAGGCGGAAGCTCCTTCTTCTTCCTGTTTTTGTTGGTGATAGCGAGGAAGTTGTCGGCGTCGTCATCTAAAGTTTCAATATCGACATCATCATCTCCAAACATAGCCTCTGGCTGCTGTTGTTTTGATTTGGAAAATTTAGCACCGTTTGTTACCTTCTTAGTAGCCGTGTTGTCTGCTAAGCCGGACATAAATGCGTCTAATGGGTCGACTTCCTCTTCCTCTTCAACTGCATTGTCTACAACCATGGCGTCGGGAGCCGCGGGCTGGGCAGCAGGCTCCTTGGGCACATCTTCCATTTTCGTGTCTCTGTCAACTTCGGCCTTGGCTAAGCCATCAGGAGTTTCCCCATTTTCTGCGAGGGCTTGGTTTTGCAGCCGTTCTTCACGTTTCTCGGCGGCTGCTCGCGCTGCAGCTGCATTCTCTTCCTCAGTGCCGGCATCCTGCATATCATCATCGTCGTCTTCCCCCTCATCATGCCCGTTGGCTATTCCATTAGCATCATCTTCCTTTATATCTTCTAAAGGAGGGGTTGGGAGCTTCTCTAGCTTCTTCCGGGTAGACTCTTCTTCCCCGAAATCCAATGCCCTTTTTGCAGATGGCTTATCCGTTTCCGCCGCGGGCTTGGATCCTAAGCCGAAACCACCAACACCACGAGTTGATAAGGGCACTATTACGGTTAGCATGTCCTGGTTTAAATAAGTAAGATATTTATGAAAGGACGTACTTTTATTCGCCGAAAGCTTATTAGACTTAGGGTCTGTTGTAGAGGGTAAAACGGTTGATGATTTAGCACTGGCTGGTACTGCCACATCATTACCAAGTGGAGCTGAGCCTGTCGAAGCTGCGGGCGCTTTCTTCGTGATTGCTTTGGGGTCGAATTTTCCCGCGTATGGGGCTGTCGCGGCATCATTGCTAGGTGTCGCTGGGGATTTTGGAGACGCAGTCGTGGGGGATGCGCCGGATCTCTTATCTATTTGGTCGAGAATGCCTCTCGCTCCACCAGAAGCTGCGAGTTCTTTTTGCTTCCTTTCTCGCTCAGCGGCTTGTTTTTGTTTCCAGGCTTCTAACTTAGCTAATCGTTCTGCTTTCTTTTCCTCATCTGTTTGGGCGGGAGTGGCCGGCGTGGGAGTCTTCGAGACCTATTGCATTCAAGTCAGTTAAAACCTGTAATTGAGATAACGTTTAATCGAGTCACTCACCTCTCGAGATTTTGTGCCCGAATCCTTATTTGAGGCACGATCTCTACTGTCGTCCCGCCTAGCCTTGCGTTTTGAGTCAGTAGAATCATCCCTCCGTCTTCGCGCCCGGTCGCGGGAATCATCTCGCCTGCTCCGGTAATCCCTATCACGACTTCTCCGGCGGTAGTCTCTGCCATCATCTCGCTCCCTCGACCGACGTCTATCCCTTGACCTGTCTCTGCGGTTTGGCCTGTATGAAGAATCACCGTCGCGGCGGTCATCGTAGTCGTCTCGTCTTCCGGCCGATCGGTCACGTCGACGATATGGGTCTCGATCGCGGTCTCGGTCTCTGTCACGACGACGCCTCTGCAAACCGATTAGTTACTGGGCTGTTTATAAGGCAGTTGTAGAATGGGGCATCCGTACCTCTGGGCTGCGGGATCTTCGATGGCCCCTTTTATCGTCACGCGGGCGATCCTCGTCTTTGCGACTCCGCTTTGACGATGAGTATGTACTGCCTACAGGCGATGGTGAGCGAGTGTCCCTGTGGCGAGCCATTGTCGCAGGCCAGATGTGAGTTTTACTTCAGCGACTGAAAATATCGATGGGCAACCCAAAGCACACGTGATTAGTTCTATTCTGCTGGTTTATGGGAGTTCAAACAACCATATTATACGAAAGCTTGTAAAATGGCGTACACGGGAATTGTTGGTTGCGTTGTGATGTGAAGACTGGGTGGAAAGATCTCAAGCGCCTCCGCGCTGTTGTCTCTGTTCCACGTGATCTAAATATCTGAATCTGATTAAAAAAGTTTCCCTTCTTCCTAGCCTATGAGCGAAGGCCAAAATGAAGAGACAAATATTGATGAAATTAATCACGCGACAGGATCGATTCAACTCTCTATCATCGTCTTAGAAAGATGCGAAAAAAAAATCATTCGATCCGTACGAGATTCGAACTCGCGACTTCTCACTATGCTCAACCTTCAGTAGGAGGTGAGCGCTCTACCATTGAGCTAACGGACCGATAGTTATTTAATCAACAAAAAAGTTTCCCACTCGTACGAACAGCTTCCGAAATGGCAACCGGCAGGCATGGGCCTGGGCAAAGAGAATATAACAGTCACCAATTTTTTCCCACCCGCAGAGTAAGTGACCGAACCTGACCCTTGTGTCAAGCAGTGATAACTTGCTGAGAAAGCCACGATTTTGAATTTCCATAGCATTTGGCAATCTTGATAGCGGCTTCAACGGATTCTGAACCGACTTCCCGAGTGGTGCCGAAAGAAACCGGCCCAAGTGTTCGGCAAGGTCAACCACAGGAGATAATATCATGTTGCTAAGGAAGTGGTCGAGCTCCTCAGCATGTCTTTGAATGACCTTCACGATATCTGGGTGGGAATGCGACAACAGCAATCGAGATGGGAAGCCATCGAATTTAGTTGGGATTGCTGCCGAAGTTGGTGATGATAGTTCTCACGTTGTTAGCCCTGCAATTGCGGATGATAGCGACGCCTTGCAGCGCAGCGCTACCTCACAACGACAACAGAATTAAACGGCAGACCCGTAGTTCTGCCATTTCGAGTCGTGAGCTCTTCCACTCGGGCTTCACGGCCGGTTCTATTCAGATCTGTTCCAAGAAGTCTGCGGGGAGTCATCTCATCACTCCAGAGCCTCTGAAACATGCGAGCTTATTGGAAAACTAATCGAACCGCACGTAGCGGAGCTGGTAGATCTGTAGGTGGAGACCACTTTGTTTATTCCAACATAGGGATGCAGGGCTAATACGATACCCTTTCATAGGTTCTTCTAGAAATCTAACGTCTACTTCCCTAGGTTTGATGAGTCTTCGTTTAAAAGCGCCTACCCGACTCATCGGGAGAAGGTTTCACCAGCTCTACTCTCCAATTTGTATGCTTGGTCCCTCATCTACTGGCACGATTCACCGAAACTGCGCTCGTTTGGTAGTAGAAATTTGGCACATGTGCAGTTTGGCCTATGGAACTCGCCCCCAGATCCATCGTGCCCAACATGACGTGCCTATCCCATCAGCAGAGAATATGTGCACCGTTAATGTTTCACGAGATCGAATGGCTACTGCTTCAGTTTTCAGCTGCCTTCTCACCCTGACTGAAGTGCTAGGCCGCTATCTAGAGTATGTTTATCATATTGGAGACTGCCAGGATCCACCGGAGATATCCTCCGTAGACCTTGAGCTTCTACTTGGGGAGTGGGAGCAGGCACTAAGCGAAGATATCCGAAGAGCTGTTCTTCGTGGGACAGACCTAGGTATAGATACTCCCGGAGGAGCAAATCTCAGGCTCGCTTATTTAGCTGTGAAACTCCTCCTGAGGCGTATCCAACTGGACCTAGACAAAGGAACACACCATATCGGGGGTTTCACCCCATACTTGCGAGCTCAAAGAGCCGCTGAAGATATTGTCCATTTTGTTCAAGAACTTGACGAATCTCATTGCCACGGATTCCGGATTCCTACAAATGCGTATACATTAATATCAGCTACCCCATTTTTACTAAGATGCAGTCTTAGGTCCGGAAGCCCAACCCAGAATACACCGCTGAAGATTGCCAAAGATACTATCAATACTCTCCGTTCTCACCGACGGAACTTTTCCTGGCATCTCGCAGCCAATTGTTTAGGAAATTGTGGTGACATGATCGAAATGATTGAAGCTGGAATCAACCAGTCGAGTCCTGCCTTACCGAATATAGACCAGTATCCAGACATCGGTGTGTCGGTGCTGGATGACTTACTGACAGTGTTTGGTGATACTTTCGAGATGGATCTGTAAGCGTGTCGGCGACGTCATTATCGGAGGGAGTCAATTTTCAATCACGGTCGAGGGTTGGAGTTAATCTTGGGATATGACCCAAACTTCTTACACTAGGCCACGATTGAAGAATGGCGAAAACAACCCGGACGTGGTTCTCTAAGTTTACATAGTACATCACTATGACGATTACTCAAGGACTTCGTCCATATCTATTTTCTTTCACTTCCTCTCCTCTTTGGGAATTCGATAAATGACTCGATTCACCCGAAAAACATTTTGCCCTCCCCAGGAGGTGTTGCTGTGTTCTATCCCGACCCCGTTCCGTTTACGCAGATATGGCAAACAACGCTCATCAGCCGATGCAATCACCAGGACTCCCGGCTGCCCCTCGCGGCATACTCGACTTGCCATCTGAGCTCTTCGACGGTATATTGGGCCATGTCGAGCGCAAGGACCTTTTAACGTTGAAAAAGGTTTGCCCTCGTCTCAAAAATGAGGTGCAAAGTTTGGTCATGCGAAAGCCGGGGGTCATGTATCCTCGTTATAGTAACCAGCAGATTGTTAAGCTCGGTACCAACCTCAACTCTACATTTGAATGTGCCAGATGCAGCAAGATATTGAGCACCGACAACCCCGGAACTGAAGCGAAGCCAATAGAACCGCAAACCTTTCGATATCCATGGCAGAGTAGATTCGAGGGACCATACTGTGTGAAATGCTGCGTCAAACTTTCTCGGTACAAACTGGGCACAAAATTTGTAGGCGGCCACAAAGAATTTATCTATTGCGGTCGCTGTAGAGCAGTCAAAAGTACCAAATGCGAAATCTGCGACCGCTACGGTCTTGCGAAGAATAGGATCCCCCCGCCGTGGGATTCGATTTTCTGTGGGTGTTGCCGGATGGGGGCCAAACATAGAAGGATCTGGAGGCGCAAGAGCAATGGTCCCAGAACGAAACGGAAGGCCGAAGTACGGAGAAGCCCCGATGGGACAAGTGTGGAAACGGAAGAAGGAAGTTGAGCAATATGTGATTGATAGTATTCGGGTCTGTGGTTGATGTAGGTTGTTTTAAGGATCTAAACAGATATGTGCCACTGGAAGCTATTATAAAGCGCCCCTTCTGTACTATATAGCTTATCGACTAAACTATCCGAACTTCAAATATCACTCACTCCCTTTAATTATATTGAGCCGCGTTTAACAACCCCGTTCCTGTCACCTGACCTCAATCGAGCCTTGCGTGGCGCTTATTTCACCAAGCAATTGAAGTGGAGTTCCCCATGTTTTCACACTAAACTTCTTCGGGACAGAATCCAAACATAGCTTACCCAAAAAGGAAAGGCTGGGCTGCTCCTGATTTCATCAACAACATCCAGGGCAGAGCTTCATGAGACGACATCCCAAGCCGATGAACGACATCAATCCGATTTCTCGATCAATAAACCCATTTCACGATGTCTCTCATGCTGGCTCGCCGTAGCCGCGTTGTCTTTCGACATCTGAACGTGACCGAACCCTCCTTCACCTCTGGTCGCGTGTCCCTCGCCCTGCATGATGCTCAACATGCAACCCACTCGAGCTCTGCCGTGACCGTTACGAAAGCCGGAGTTGTTGGAGCCGTTTACCCGTCAATTGCAAGCAGATCCTATGCCTCCGTAGGGAAACCGAAAGCTCATACCGGCAAGACTAAGGCGTCGGCGAAACCCAAGAAGCCAGCTGCGGCTAAAACCACCACCAAGAAGCCAGTGAAGAAGGCCGCGAAGAAGACGGCGGTGAAGAAGCCCAAGCCTCAGGGGAGACCCAAGAAGGAAGTTTCGAAGGAACAGAAGGATGCTCTGAAGCGGAAGAACGAAATCACAGCTCTCAAGGAAACGGCTCTGAAGGCTCCAAAACAACTTCCCGCTAGCACTTTTCAGGTGCTTGTAAACGAAATTATTCGAGAGAAGGGATTCACAACCATTTCAGATGTTGCCAAGCAGGCCTCTGAAACCTATAAGAACCTTACTCCTCAGCATCGACAGGTAAGTAGTCTTCGATTCTCCGCTATGGATTTCTGCTAAATACCGATAAGGAACTTGAACAAATCTCCGATTCGAACAAGTCCTTGAACCGGACCGCCTACGATAGCTGGATCCAGTCTCACACACCGCTACAAATCAAGGATGCCAACCGAGCGCGGTTAAGACTTTCAAAACTTTCCAAGGAGGAACAGAATTCCAAAGCGAAACAACTACCACAGCTTGTGGACCCGAGACAAGTCAAAAAACCCACAAATGCTCTTTTCCTCTTCGGTTCGGAGCTGCGCGCAGCAGGTGAATTCAAGGATATGCCTGTTGGGGAGGCCGGGAAAATGACAGCCAGCCGGTTCGCTCAATTGAGTGAGCACGAGAAAGAGGTACTGTTTACTGGCTCCCGGATTCCTATCCCAAGCAAATGGCGATAATATTGGAGATTCACGCTGACAAATTTACTAGAAATACAATGAGATGGCTGCTCAAGATCGGGCTCGTTACTTCAGGCAGTACAAAGAAGCCTACGGCACCGACCCCCCCTTCGCTTCTAAGAAAGAATAATCCACAAAGGCCTAAATGTTTTCCCAGACTCATACTGGCACCCCCCCTCGAATGGTTATTTCAACCGTCGACCAGACACTTCCTCGCAGCGGATGAATGGTTGAGAGTTCTTTTCGCCTCTTATCCTAAGTATTTTCGATGAGCTGAACCCCCGCTTGTACATCAGATTTCTGTTTACTGTATTCTCGTTGTTACGGTATCTCACGTTCTCCTGCGCCCTCACTTATCCTTATTTATTTGTTGTGAAACCCCTCTTCAGCTGTCTCGGAACCTGCCTCCGCTGTAACTTTTTGCCTCTCCTGTTCTCTTTGTCAATCACCGGGCGGGGCAGGCAGTTATCAATATAATGAAAGTACACCTCACATACTTTTTGGTGCTCTATCCATTATAGGTCTAGACGTCCAGGCCGGTAGGTAGCTTGAAGCCGATACTGATACATGTAGGACGACCAAAGTTAAGGTCTTTGTCTAGTTAACTCTTCTCATCCTAAGGGAAGCTTGTGGTTTGGTTCAGCTATACCACACCCAAAAAGACACTAGAAAGTCGTCCTTCGAGTCAGCAAAGAGAACGTGTGGGGAAGGCCATCAGCTTCCTCTCGTCTGTGGGCCTCAAACTTTCAGAACCCGCAAGTCCATCCACGTTTCTTTCCCATTCTTCTT